AGGGAGAATCATCCAAGGTAGAAAGAGGGCGGGAAAGCCGACGTACTGCTTCTTCCTGGACGTGAAAAAGGCATACGATACCGTATGGAGAAATGGGCTGTGGAAACATTTGTCCAAGTACGGGATCAAGGGGGAAATGTGGAGAGTGCCGAAGAAGATGGCAGAGTGTACGAAAAGCGCGGTCATGCTAGACGGAGAACTGTCGAAATTCTCCGACATTGAGCAAGGGGTCCCACAAGGCTGCACGCTGTCCCCGACATTGTTCCAGGTGTTCATCAACGATCTGTTGGAAGTCGTAGAGGCAGTCCGGAAGGGAGTAAAAGTAGGGGACACGGAAACTTCGGTGTCAGGAATGCTGTTTGCGGATGATTTTGTTGGTATGTCGGACACCCCTGAGGGACTGCAACTGCAAATTGACGCGGCGAAGAAGTTGACTGATAAGTGGAGATTGTCTGCCAACGTTAAGAAGAGTGCCGTCATGATATGCAACGAGGACAGGGAGGAACCAGTAGAATATAGATGGAAGTGGGGGATCGAGGAGATTGCAGTAGTGGACCAGTACACATATCTCGGAGTAGAGATCGCAAAATACTGCTCGTGGAATGCACACATGTCCAAGGTAGCGGAAAAGGGCAAAGCACGAACAGGGAAGCTGCACCCAATACTCGCAAACCGGCACCTCGATACACGCATCAAAATGACGGTTTTGAAGAGCGTGATCGTACCGCCGCTTGAGTACGCCGGAGAAGTATGGGAAGGAAATAAGAAGGCAGTGAAAGGACTCGAGGCGGCGCACGTGAAAGCAGCGAAAATCATCCTGGGATGCTCCAAGCGCACAAGTAATGCAGCCGTCCGGGCAGAATTGGGGATCCAATCCCTACGGTCGGGAAGAGACGTAAGGAAGCTGACATGGCAGTATTGCATGCGCGGGATGAGAGAGGAGAGGTTGCCGAGAATAGTATGGGAGGCGAAGTGGGCAAACAAAAAGAGGGGTAGACAACCCACGGAATGGGTCAAGGTTGTAGAGGACGTATGGAAAGGGTTAGACATGGACGAAGATGAAACGCTGGAAACGGAGGGTCTACAGGGGTTCAAGGAGAAGAGATCTGTTGCTTGTGCCGAGAGAGAAGAACATAATCTAAGGAAATAAACCGAGGATAAGGAGAGTCTACAACAAGTGTACGGAATGTTGAAAGAAGGAATAGGGTTCAAGGATTACCTTCATGGACCAATGGATGCAGAGACAAAGCTTAAGGTCAAATTCAGGACCGGGGACATAGGCCTCCGAGAACGTCGACGAAGACATAGGACGGTAGACGACGAAGACGACAAGTTCAAATGTGATTGCGGCTTCGAATGCGAAGACCGTGTTCATGTGGTCGCGGAATGTCCGTGGTACGAAGAGGAGAGGGAAGTGTACATGACTGAGCTGGATAAAATACAAGGGATGTACAGGGAGATGTTTGAGGCATGGAATAGAGAGGAGAGGACGGTAGCTGTACCGGGGAGTAGGAAGTGGTTTGAAAAGGCGGGAAGGGACATCGTTAGGATAGACAAACTAGGGAAGACATTTTTGAGCCACCTTTGGCAAAGTAGGAAGGAACGATTGGCCATCGGTGATCGGTCCTGTGGGAACATGCTCCGTCCTCTCGAGGACGCGTGGTCAATGGTCTAACCGCTAAGGCATGCAAAACATAAGAGTACGCCCCCCCCCACTACGGCGGAGTACCCCCCCCCCCCTTTCCGGCCACTGTCTCTCTTCAGTGG